CCCTGTATGACCTGACCCCTGCCTCTCCAGCTTCACCTCTTGCCACTCACCCCTTCTGACCCGGCAATTGTACTGTGAACCAAAGGAGACAGACCTCACCCAACTCATCCTCAAGGAGCTGGGACAGTGACATGGTAAACACCACACAGCCAGGAGGAACACTAGACACACAAGCATGTGCAGTAATACGGGACAAACAGCACACGCTCCGTGCTCAGAGCCAAGTCTAAACATAACAAGCGCTTCTCACAAGGACCAGGAAAAAAGATGATAAATACTTGGCATTCTTGGATTCCTAGATTTGCTTTCTAAATTTGCTAAAACGCATGATTTTTTAATGTACGTACTGTACGTCACCGTTCATTCACGCCTCACTTTAACACTCACCTTATTCTTAAGGAGCCTTTCCCAACACAATCAGTGCAATATACAGCAGGCCTTTTCTACTTTTAACTGATTCCATCTCATTTCCTAGCTCTGTAATAACTGCTCTGCTACATTCTTAAATTTCAGGAATTCAGGGACCAATCTCAAAAAAGTGTATATTTTCTTGTGCAAAACCCAGAAGAGCACTTCCTCAACAGAAAGTGTTCAAAGGTGCTTTTCCACCCCTTTCATACAGCACTGTAAATGTACTCTGATCAGGACTTGCCAGCCTATCAAAGGGGAATGCAGAAAGCAGTCTAAAAACTTTTCCAAAATTAAAAGCCCACTGGCAGCAATGTTACTGGGAAAATGACATCTTATGAAGACATCATGTCAAAAGAAACGACCCCTCCAAAGAGTCAGAGGAACCACTTCAACTTGATTTCCAAATTCCGAAACCCTCAAACAGATTAATTTTTTTTAATACATAAAAATACTAAAACTTAAGTAAAAACATCAGTAAATGGGGGAACTTCTCAAACCTGGGGCTGCCGCTTTTGCGCCACATCCGCAGTAGGAATTAACTGGGCTCCAGTAACTATCTCCTCTGTGGTTTGCTAGTCAGACACTTAAGTAGAAACCAAATGCCCCTCACCCGAAGACAAAGGTATCCGTCAAACCCAGTAAGCCCAACGTTATGCCTTGAATTGTGTCCCCCAAAAATGTGTGCCAACTTGGCTAAGCCATGATTCCCAGTATTGTGTGACTGTCCTCCATTCTGTCATCTGATGTGATTTTCCTATGAGTTGTAAATCCTACCTCTATGAGGTTAATGAGGCAGGATCAGAGACAGTTATGTCAATGATGCAGGACTCAATCTACAAGATTGGGTTGTGTCTTAAATCAATCTCTGCTGAGATACAAAAGAAAAAAAGAAGCAAAGACATGGGGACCTCATACCACCAAGAAACAAGAGCCAGGAGGATAGTGCGTCCTTTGGACCTCGGGTCCAGGCACTGAGAAGCTCCTCGACCAGGGAAGATTGATGACAAGGGCCTTCCCCCACAGTCAACAGAGTAAGAAAGCATTCCCCTGGAGGTGGCATCCTGAATTCGGACTTCTAGCCTCCTAGACTGTGAGAGAATAAACCTCTCTTTGTTAAAGCCATCCGCTTGCGGTATTTTTGTTAAAGCAGCACTAGATAACTAAGACACCCAATGAAATGACAAAAAACACAAAGTTCCTCCAGAGAGGAGCCCAAACCATGGTTCTTATAAACTATCTCAAAGACAAACGCAATAAAATATGGTCAAAAACACAGAAGTGTTTGATGATATAACAGAAACAGCAGCAGGGGCCCAGGCTTTAGCCCCCACGCTGGCACTGACTACATGTGGGATCTCAAACAACTAAGCTACCCACCAATGTCCTTTTGGGTACGAAATTACAGTTGAGGTAGAAATACCACCCTTGCTAGCTTTTGTTCTAACTCCAGAACTTTCCCATCACAAAAGACACAGTAAGATCCCGATGGGCAGCCTTTTCCAAACAACAGCTGTGCTGGATGCATTTGTCAAGACTTACAGTACAGGCTTCTGATTTGCAGACCCTGATTTACAACCCCTTCTCTTATCAAAAATCAACCCAAGGCAAGAAAACAGGAAGGAGAAACATAAACTCCATCCAGGAGACATCTGAAACCCCACACAAAATATGAATAGGAAGCATGGATGGAAGAAAGCTAATTCAATCCAGAGAGCAAAGGGAGGTGAAACTCAATACGGGGGTTTCTGCTGAGAAGCAGGGAAACTGACCCCACAGCAAGACTCGGAAAACAGAGGTGATGCCCGGGGCTGACATAGGGAGGGCGTGTGCATGTGTGTGCATGTGTGTGCACACGCATGTGTGAGCAGCACAGGGAAAAGTCTGCACAAGGAACAGATTCTCAGGCCCACGCCCCTGTGGTACACTCAGCATGGGATCCTCTCCTGTGCCTCCTAGGGAGCAGAGGTCCAGCTCTATAAAAACACCACCAGAAACACACCACAGTGGGGACAGCAGGCAAGACAAAGATGGAAGTGAGCTCTGCAACTGAACCAGGGAGATGAGGAAAAGGTTATCTACTGACCTAACAGGGCCCTGATGGCCCAGCGGTTAACTGCTATGGCTACTAACCAAGAGATCAGCGGTTCGAATCCACCAGCTGCTCCCCGGAAACCCTACGGGGCAGTTCTCTGTCCTACAGCGTCGCTATGAGTCAGAATCAACTCCACAGAAACGGGTATGGTTTTTGTTTGTTTATCTACTGACCTAAGTCAGGACAAAGGACTGAAAGATCCTTCTCAAAGGAAACCAAACTGCCCCAGGGAACAGATCAGCACAGACTAACATCTGGAGGACAGCCAACAAAAAAAACAGCCAGTCCTCGTCCTACAGCAAAAGCAACCGGTAAACAAGCCCCCACAAACACTCAGATCCCACTTTGAGTACTTTATTCTTCAAGGTGAATAATCAGTCAAAGATCACCAGACAATTAGAGAAATGCCAATCGAAACTACAATGAGATACCATCTCACCCCAAAAAGGCTAGCATCAATCCAAAACACACAACAAATGTTGGAGAGGTTGTGGAGAGACTGGAACACTTATACACTGTTGGTGGGAATGTAAAATGGTATAACCACTTTGGAAATCGATCTGGTGCTTCCTTAAAAAGCTAGAAATAGAAGTGCCATATGATCCAGCAATCCCGCTCCTTGGAATACATTCTAGAGAAATATGAGCCGTCACGCGAATAGGTATACGCACATCCTCGTTCGCTGCAGCACTGTTCACGACAGCAAAAACATGGAAACAACCTAGGTGCCCATCAACAGACGAATGGATAAACAAATTATGGTATAGTCACACAATGGAATACTACACAATGACAAAGAACAACGATGAAATCGTGAGACGTCTTGTAACACGGAGGAATCTGGAAGGCATCATGCTGAGTAAATTCAGCCAGTTGCAAAAGGACAAACATTGTATAAGACCACTATTATAAGAACTCAAGAAAAGGTTTAAACACAGAAGAAAACATTCTTTGATTGTTATGAGGATAGGGAGGGTGGGGAAGCAGGGAGGGGGCATTCACTAACTGGATAGCAGGCAACAATTGTCTTAGGTAAAGAAAAGGACAATACACACTACAGGGGAAGTTAGCCCAACTGGACTAAACCAAAACCTAAGAAGTTTCCTGAATACAACCAACATTTCAAGGGATAGCGAAGCAGGGGCAGGGGTCTGGGGACCGTGGTTTCAGGGGACATCTAGGTCAACGGGCTTAACAAAGTTTATTAAGAAAATGTTCTGCATCCCACTTTGATGAGTGGCATCCGGGGTCTTAAAAGCTAAGATGCATCAACTGGTCCCAACCCACCTGGAGCAAAGGGGAATGAAGACCCCACAGACAAGGAAGGTATCGCCCAAGAGACAGACAGGGCCACAGAAACCAGAGACTCCATCGGTCTGAGAGCAGAAGAACCGGACAGTGCCCGGCTACCACCAGTGACCACCTGACAGGAAACACAACAGAGTGTCCCTGACGGAGTGGAAAAGCGGGGTGCAGAACTCAAATTCTAGTAAAAAGACCAGACTTAATGGTTTGACTTGAGACTGAAGGGACCCCGGAAGACGTGGCCCCCAGACTCTCTGTTAGCCCAAAACTAAAACCACTCCCAAGGCCAATTCTTCAGATAAAGATTAAACTGGACTATGGGACATAAAATGATACTCATGAAGAGTGTGCTTCTTAGCTCAAGTAGATACATGAGACTAAATGGGCAGCTCCTGTCCGGAGGCGAGATGAGAAGGCAGAGAGGGTCAGAAGCTGGTTGAATGGACACGGGAAATCCGAGGTGGAAAGGAGGAGTGTGCTGTCACAGTACAGGGAGAGCAACTAGGGTCACATAACAATGTGTGTAAATTTTTGTATGAGAAACTAACTTGAATTGTAAACTTTCACTTAAATCACAATTTAAAAAAAAATCACCAGGCATTTGAAGGTCTCCATCATGAAAGAAACCAAAGACACAACAGCAAAGAGGCATGCAAAAGAAACAGAAAAAAAGTATGAAATAAAATTTAAAAAATTTTAGTAACTTTTAAAAATGTTAGGCTGTAATAAACAAAGAAATAAAGATACAGTATATGTAAAACAAGAACAGGAGACACTAAAAAAGGAACAGAGAATGGGAAAGAACATAAAAATGATAGCAAAAATTTAAAATCCAGTAAAAATATTGAAAATAGTCCAAAAAATGTTCCCAAAAAGCAGAATAAAAAGACCAAGACATGACGAGAGAAATGACTTAAAAAATTAGAAGACTAAATACAGAAGTCCAACATTCAACTAAAGAAATTCCAAAAGGAAAGCAAAGAAAAAACAGTAGAGAAGAAGTTATCTCAAATATACTGTACAAAACATTCTTATAAATGAAAGGGCATGGGTCTCCAGGTTTCACGGCTACTTAGCACCCTGCATAATAAATGGAAAAAAAAACTCGCACTAAGGTACATCATGAAAATCTGGAAACTCGAGGATGCAAAGATGCTTAAAGTTTGGGGGGGGTGGGGGGAAGAACACTTACGAAGAATTAAGAATCAAACCAGACTTCTCAACAGCAACAATGGAAACTAGAAGATATTGGAGCCATGAGTTCAAACTGATTTCCAGCCAAACTTACTAATCAAGTGTGATGGTACAGTAAATACATTTCTGACACGCCAGTCCCAAAATGTTTGCCTCCTGTCCATCCTTTCCCAGGAAGCTACTAGAGAATGTGCTCCAACCCAATGAGGGAGTAAACCCAGAGAGAGGGAGACATCAGATGCAGGTAAAAAGTGGTTCTTTGCTCGAGAAGGTGGGGAGAATTCCCAGGATGACAGCTGTGCACCACGCATGAGAGGGTGAGCGAGGACCATCTCCAGGAAGAACGTGGAACCGATGAACGACCTGACAGGGCTGAATGGGTAAAAAATTAAATTGAGAAACATGTTACAAAATTAAGGGATGGTACAAAAACATTATTTTGAGGTTCAAAGGAAAACAGGCAAATTGAACGTAGGCAATTATTAAAAGTTATACAAAGAAGAAATATAGTTTACCCCGTAGCCCAGCACAGCACAGTAATTACCTGGACATACTGATGAAGACTCTGCAAATGTACTGAACCAAAACCATGTCCTAGCAAGATAGGAGACTGGGGGAGCATAAGAGGGAGTGTGAGAGAACTAAAATCTTCACCTACCATTAGTGGAAGCTAACAGGTAATCCCAAAATAGGTAAGACATGACAATACAAGCAGCAGATTATTCAGAGATGAAGTAAATGCCAAAAGAAACATCTAAAGAAGTTGCACATGGCTGCCACCTCTCCAGGGAGAAAAGGCAGGAGGGGAGGGTTGCCTTTTTTTTTGTTTTTTCCTATGCTTCTTAGGACTAACTGATTATATAAACTAAGTGTATGTATTAGTTTAAAAATTAAAAATAAAATTAAAGAGATACACAGTAACTACCCTAGTAGAAAGCATAAAATCTGCCTGGGAAGGCCCCCCTGCAGAAAGATGTCATTATTAACTCACGGCCGCTGAAGCAAAAGCCATGAAGTCAAGTCCAGCACCCTGGGCTCCAGGCCTCAGTGGTCCTGGATCTGCACTTAAAAATCTCACAGGCCACCATTCACTGACCCACAAAATGGTGGACAGGGAATGTGCTCCATTACCTCAGCAGTTTTAGTGAGAAAACGTGGCAACTATCTTTCTAGGTCAAGGAAAAGAGGAAAGAATAAATATACAGTTATACCAGTTTCAAGTGTCAACTTTGCTAGTATAATCATTGGGCAATTAGTGAACCCTAACCCAGTAACCAAGGAGCCCTGGTGGCACAGTAGTGAACCACTTGGCTGCTAACGGAAAGGCTGGAAGTTCAAACCCACCAGAGAAAGATGTGGCAGTCTGCTTCCGTAAAGATTACAGTCTTGGAAACCCTATGGAGCAGGTTCTACCCCATCCTATGGAGTCGCTATGAGTCGGAATCAACTAGATGGCAACGGGTTTGGAGTTTTTGGTTTTGACCCAGTAATCATTTCCTAGATTTAGTGGCCTTCAGTATGGATTTACAGTCTTCAGTATGGATTACACTTCAACATAAAAGAAAAATCGTCACAATTGGACCGATCGGCAACATCATGATAAATGGAGAAAATAATGAAGTTGTCAAAAATTTCATTTTACTTGGATCCCCAGTCAATGTCCATGGAAGCAGCAGTCAATAAATCAAATGACATATTACGTTGGGCAAATCTGCTGCAAAAGACCTCTTTAAATTGTTAGAAAGCCCAAGACGTCACTTTAAGGACTAGCGTGCGCCTGACCCAAGCCATGATATTTTCAATCACCTCATCTGCATGTGAAAGCTGGATAACAAATAAGTCTGAAGAATTGATGCATTTGAATTACGGTGTTGGTAAAGAATACTGAATATACCAGAGACTGCCAGAAGAACAAATGAATCGGTCTTGGAGGAAGTACAACCACAATGCTCCTTAGAAGCAAGGATGGCGAGACTTCGTCTTTCGTACTTCAGGCACGTTATCAGGAGGGACTAGTCCCTGGAGAAGGACATCATGCTTGGTAAAGTAGAGGGTCAGCGAAAAAGAGGAAGACCCTCAACGAGATGAACTGACACAGTGGCTGCAACAATGGGCTCAAACAGCACCAACTGTGAGGCCAGCACAGGACCAGGCAGCGTTTCATTGCGTTATAGACAGGGTCACTAGGAGTCGGAACCGACTCGACAGCACCTAACGACAACAGGTTTAGGGGCAACAGGTGGTCCACTCTCCAGTGTCATCTCACTCACTGCCAGGGGGTGACAATCTGGGGACAGTAGTGCTACACTGCAAACAGACCCTCACCCCGTCACACGCCTCCATGGTGAACATTTAGAATCAATACTCTTAACACCAGAGCTTCTACTAACCTAAAATCACCCCTTCATTGCAAACCGTAAGAAACAGTCCAAAATTTAGAAGGTTCTGCACCAAGCGTCTCCACACAGGCTAATGTGTTTCGACAAAGGGTTGTCTAAGGCGAATGTGCCCTTCCTTACGCTATTCACGCAGCCAAGCTGAGCCTGCCAAGAGTAGGAGGCTATACTCTAGGGTGCTGGGTACCCCAAGGTCAGTGACCCTGACAAGCAGTGACTGGAGCAGCATATGCAGGGTTGTTAAACGGAGCAGGACCTCCTCCAAGAGCCTCCCCAAAGGTCCCTGTTGGAAATGGTCCTTCATCTCTTCTCCCTCTGCAGACTTGGGGCGTGTTTCTCAAGCCCGGGCTCTGGAGCCAGACCCTCGTTTGTCTTCCAGGCCACAGGCTCTGTGACCTGAGGCCTGAGGACGTGACAGTACCGACCTCCTAAGTTGGCTGTCAGGCTTTCATGAGTGAATTCCCCAGAGCGCTGGGGCAGCTGGGCATACTTAAGGGCTCAGTGAACAGCAAACTCTGCCTGTCGTTATGGGCCCGTCCAGCCTTCCTGGGGAATCAGAAAGCTGGAGCCATTCCCTCATCAGTATTTATTATGACCTACTATGTGCCACATACAGAGCTGACCAGGCAACATTTCTTCATGTCTTCCCAGCCTTGGTTTCAGATCTGCTAAACAGAGAATAATACTTCCTGCATAGATAAGGTAAACCAAACGAGAGGCCTATGTGAAGAGCTTGTCACAATGACTGGACACAGTAGGTGCTCAATTAATGATATCAGTAAATCACTTACACATCTTCTCCCCTAACAGTCTGAAGTGACATGGGGTTATCTAATTGATCATTTTGTCCCCAGAACCCAATATGTTCTAGAATATTGTCAGTACTCAATGAATACTCTTTGCCTTGAGTTTAGTAACTCCCCCACATCTTCCCAGTATACTTTAACAATACCTCCAAAAGCTGCAGAAAATAATATTAATTGAATACAAGGCAATATATTCACATGAATTAAAATATACTGTCAATTCTACGTACCAGCTTATGATAATGGCTCCTTATCATTACACCCTAACTTTCTGATCTTTAGACGTCCCAACGGTTACCACAAGACATTGATTTCTGATAAAAACTGCTAGGTAGTCACTTTTTCCCAAATCATTCACCATTTCAGTGTAAGGGCACACAACGTTTCTGCCCTTTCACAAGCACACCTCCCGCTTGCTCTCCTCCGGTGGGAATCCAGTGCTGCATCTCACAAGAGTTTAGTGTCTGTGCTGCTGAAGAGGACACAAACTACCCTTGCGAACGAGCAAAGAGGAAGGCCAAGATCATTAACAAAAGAACGTGAACTTTCTATATTCAACGCACTTGAGCGTGGCTGGTAGAAATCAACTTAGGTCGGCAACACGCCCCATCCAGACTGCGACTCTGCCCTGACAGCCCCAGGACGGAAAAGCATTGTCTGGGGAGAATCGCGCCAGGACCGGCCAACTTTGGCGACGACGAGGCCGCCCCACCAGAAACAAAGTGAAAGGTCGCCGGCGGCCGGGAAGGCCGGGCCGGGGGCCGGCGGCGCCCCTCTCGGCCCCAAAGTTCGCCGCTGCCCCGACTTTCCCTTTTGTCTGCACGCCTCCCGCGGCCCCCGCCGCGGCCCAC